GGCTTCAGCAGAGTGCCCTCCAGGTACACGTGGTGGTCAGACAGAGCCTTGTACACAGCAGCCAGAACCTAAAGATGAATAGGCAGATTTATTACTACACATACTATATCATCTGATGGGAAAGGATTTAATGGCTGGTGGTCGGCTGACTAAGTCAAAGATGGCGAACCAACCTTTTCTGTGACATACTGGCAGCGCAGCAGGTCGTGGTCTCCGTCAGGCAGGATCTCTGGCTCCACAATAGGCACCAGGCCATTCTGGAGGAGTACATAAATGTCAATTTAAAATGAGTAACTTGCAGCCAACTTTTTTCCATCACAATTTATTAAGCCACACACACATACCTGTTGGCAGATGCTGGCATATCTGGCAAGGACATTGGCATTCTCTGCAATGGCGAGAGCTGATGGGCAGCCATCTGAGATCTTGAGCACACACCTCCACTTGGCAAAGTCACAACCATCTTTCTTATACTGGGCACAGCGCTCTGAGAGACCATCAAGACCTACAGAGAAACAACAAGCCCCAGAAGGTTGGTAGTGCTCATTCTACATTATGTTTCAGAAACAGATTTTGCAATAAAGAACTGTTGCACTTCTGGGCTTTGAATTTTACTTTGAGGCACCCAGAGAAATGCAGTATGTCACCTTGTGTGGTTGTCTCTCCATCTGTTCCATTCAGACCAGCAGTGCCTTTGTCTACCTGTAGCAAGAAAACCAAAAACATACCCATTAACTTACAACTGTCAACATGGGGAAGACCTGAAGATGTACACATTCTACTCGACTCAATCACAACTCCTCACCTTTATGCCGACAACAATGCCCTTTTCCTTGACGACTTGGGGGAAGAGCTTGCCGCTGTCTGACTTCTGGTAGAGCGTCTCGTGGAAGAAGATGATCCCACCGATGCTGTTGGCGATGGAGGGGGGGGGGAGAACAGGATGTCACGGAAGAAGCGACGGTTCTCCTCAGTGTTCTCCACGTTGATTTTCTGGAGACGCTTTGCCATGGTTCCTTGGAAGAAGAGGGTACGGGAATCATTTCACACTGGTCACCCTCTCGCCATCAAACAACTGGGCACTTGGGGCTCACCTGTTGATTCATCTGCAGCCAGGATTCCCTTTCCTGGAGCTACGATCCTCTGAGCAATGTCAGAGAGCTCTTTCTTCTGCTCCGGAGACAGGGATGGGAACTGATGAGTCATTCTAGAGGAGAGAAACAAGTTTATGGCACAGGTGAAAACTGTCAAAACTGTGGTAAGAATGAGGAAAAACTTGTTTTTTTTTTCTCCAGCAACACAATGAACCTCTGCTACCTGCCTTTCTTGCACCACCTCTGTAAATATTTGCCTTGCATGGTTGAACTTCAGCCCTCAAACAGATAAGTTCTGCAGTTGGATGTGCAACTTAAGTTCATAGTTCACTTAATAGGTAATGTTTTCCCAAAACATTCGGCAGAAGACCCCCAACACACACAAGCACTTTAACACACTGCTCAATAATCCTTATTTTAGAGGAAAATGAATAATTCTCTAAAATAAGGATCATAAACGGCATGTTGACGCGGATGCTTCCTTTCAACTATTTGCACATGCAGAGAAGCCTACAGACACCACGTCGACATTTAACGTCAATAGACTATACAACTCTTTTAAAGTGAAGTCACCACCAATCTTTAGGCCTATTGCAGAAACTAAATGGACATCCTAATGCATAAGTTTAATAACTCGAGCATCCAGACATGACAACCTGTCGCATAAACTTGCAGCTTAAAACCATAAGTGCAACACTACTCTCATAGCTGCACACTTACGAACAGGATAAAACCCGAAGACGCAGACTAATGTTGCAGAAACCAGGCAAAGCGGTTCACTTCACTTTTCATAAAAACAAACGGAGATCAGCAACAGCAACAATATGCAAAAGCTAAAAACGCGTCTTACTTGAGAGTTATGTCAAACAGAGACGGGAACGTAAGTGACAACCGGGCCTCTACAGCCTCCAAACAGAAATTTGACTGATTGAGAAGGACGAGGACTGGGCACAACGCTGTATTTATTGAGTGTTTGGCTCTGTGGAGGAGGCGCTTGTGATGTGGCGGGGCGTGTGTCATCACGGTAACGCAATTGGCCCGGTGAGACACACAGGGGCGGTGTTTGCGAGGAATGGCATCGACGCCTATGATCGACGCGCTTCTGTAGACTTTGGTCTCATAACAGAAGCCTATAGGCAGATGAGTTGAAAACAAGACAGGGAACACTGTGTCGTTATAAAATCAAAGTCTGCATGCATGCACGTACACTGCACACTGCCGCGGAAAATGATGCAATGTAGCCTAATGTGAGAGGCCTGCTATGTTGCAATTCAGGTTTCTTTGTCCGGTGAAAGTGTAACATGCAAGATATTAATTCAGAAAGGAATTATGTAAGTCACAGATCCACTCCTGCTAAAGCAGACAGTCATGTAATCTTAACCTTCCCAAATATCAGATAGCCTACAGATGTCCTAACCTATGGAAAGATCATTTGGTTAAAATCACATCTTCCTTAAAGTCCTGCAGACAAGGAAGGTGTCGCAATAACAATAGCAATAGCAACTTTGATCATAAAATTAAAATATCTCTACTGTGGTCGGTCAGTCAATGTAGGCCTATTTGGTACACAAATGGTTAACAATCAGCCGCAAATTAGCAAGAGAAACCAAGAGGAGTTTTATTCTGGCCACTGCAATGGAGTTCTAGGGCCACTGTTCTGCTGGAACATAGGAGCTAAAAAGTTACGTTCATTTACGTGAATAAGTGCCACATATTCACTTTAGGCCCCGAGGCTCTGGAACAGCCTGCCCGAGGAAATCAGGTCGGCTGAGTCAGTGGACTCTTTTAAGTCCCTTCTTAAAACATACTTTTATAGGAGAGCCTTTCCCGATCTTATTTGACTTTATTTTATCCCATTTATTTTATTGTATTTTACTAATTTTATATTTATCTTAAACGTGTATTTAAGTTTTTTCAATGTTTTCATGCTTTTATCTTGTATTGTTTTTGTATTATTGTCTCTTGGGTATTATTGTCTTTACACTTGTTAAAGCACTTTGTAATTTGTTTTTGAAAAGTGCTCTACAAATAAAGATTATTATTATTATTATTATTTAAAGAGGTTAGGCTACTTCCCCAAACAAAAAATACAAGAGGAGGGAAGACTAAACCATGCCTTCATTTGTCCTGACTCAGCAGGAATGATATTAAAGAGAGAAGTTGAGCTACAGGACAATACAAACTGGAAAGCAATACAGAATGCGTGAGAGCCTCACTGCATTATAGTCCATTATATTTTTATATTTTGGATCATCACCTTTATATAAAGACATTTGCACCATCATTTGGTGCAGAAACATTCACCAGAATGCAGGAAATAAAGTGTTTAACACTCAGAATTTCCCCCAGACCCCTAATGTGTGCCATCCAATGTTGCAATGAAATGCCCTTGCCTGCAGAGCATGTACTAGGCCTATATGTCTTTATATACACACAAACGCATGTGTGTGTATCAGATAAGGCCTGTATGCATTTTGCACCAGCAGAAACGTGTATTAACGTTTATTTTATTTCATTACAATTTTTATTATAACTGATTCACTTTCCGATTTGGTATGCTACATTTAGGGAATGTTATTTTATATATAATCACACTAGTAGGCTATAGGTTTATAGTATAGTTTTAGCTTAGTTAATTAAATGGAACCGAATAAGCCATTAGTTACTACAGTAAAACATGCATTTTCATGTTACCCTATGTAGGCTACACATCGCTTGTCAAACACGCCATGCACACACAGTTCCCATATCGATTACTGAAATTGGCCCAAAAAGAACTTGTTAGTGTGTTTGTAATGCTCTCACCAGTCCATGATTGAATCGATAGGCTGGAGTAGATAACTCACAAATAATGACATGCCAGCTTTTACACAACCAGGACTCTGCACCCTGTGCAATGTACGCTTTCATAGTGCTGATTAGAGATCAGTCTCAGTCCATGAGTCCCAATTTACATAAGGACTAGCTGTCAGAGTTACGGGAGTGCAAAATATTGTCCTGACAAGTTTAAATATGTGAGTTGAAGTTGGAAATAATATTGTTGGTTTCTTTGTTTTGGTTGCCTAATAATTGCTACAATAAATCGTTGAATAAATCTGTGAATCTGTGGGAGGCCAACACTGCAGCTATATAAAATAGGCCTATCTCTAAAGTGAAGCCATAAATTATGACATTTCTAATTTGTTTCTGGAGTTTCAATGAAAGAAGATCATCCATTAAAAACATCTTAATTAATCTGCGGTCTTTTTACTTTCTTGGGTTATAACACAATGTTTGATATCTAGTACATTTATATTATTAAACAGCACTGTACATTTACATTAGGGCTGGATTACCAACAGGGGAATGTGCAACTTTCAAGGGGCCCCAAAAGCCTCAGGTTCAATCTGTGTCAGTTATTTGTAATTTGTCTGTGAATTTGCACCCCTAAAGTACAATATCAACTGAGCCCAACATCCTTAGTCTTGTGGCCCTATCTTGTAGAAGGGACCAGTTCTAACACTTTATTTATTTTATTTTATATTGTGCTCTTGTGGTGCACTTTGCTAAATTATGTTGTGTTGCATCAAATCACCACAAACTAATTTAGCCATATCTAGGCTAAGGTAATAGTATTCCAGTAAGGATGTAGTAAGCTACTGGTTGGTGTTAGTGTCTGTGTTAAATAAAATGAACATCTGTATTGGGCTGTGTCAATTAAATTATAGGAACTTGGAGAAAAGGGGGCCCAACAGAAACTGGATGCATATTAAGTTTGATTCCCTTTATGCCGGTAGGTGGCGCAATGACAGCTGAAGATTGACCAACTCGTTCACACTTCCGTTTCCGAGAGGCAAGGAGCCGCAATAACAACAGCCACAGACAGATTTAGTTCATTATAAACTCTTAACATTCACAGCGGTAAGATTTAGGTTAGGTGTGACTGATATTGACAATATTCTGAAGTTAATACATTGATCTGTCGGCTCAGAGCATCAACAGCAGCTAAAGCTGGCGTTAGCACGCGGCTAACGTTAGCCTAACGTTACACTGGCTGATTTAATCAGCTTTTTCGGGTTTCAAAGTGATACATCATTTTGTGTGCATTTGTTTCGAAGCCTCTTCGCTTAGGTAGGTGAATGCGGTTTAAGAGTGAACATGAAGGCATTTCTATCACTTAACGTTAATGTTAGCTAGCGCGCATAGCGTAGCTTTGTCGTTCATCCATCTGAATCTATCAGCCCTCCACATCCTTCATCAGTCTCATTTTGCCCTTTTCTCTTACTCTCTGTTTGTTTCAGGAGTCTGAGGATGTCGGGACAGAAGCGTCCTGCTGACCCCAGCGGTTCCTCGTCCTCCGGTGCGCCCCCAGAGAAGAGGAGGGAGAGGGAAGGAGAGGACGGAGGTCCCGGTGTCAGCGCGGCTGCCACCGCGGTGGAGACAGTCATCAAACTGGGAGGAGTGTCCAACTCAGTGAGCCCCTTTATTTTCCACCCTACTGCTAATTAATTATTCACAATCTCAGTCTCAAATGCTTAAAGTCATGTGTGTTTGGCTGCTTTTGCCTTTTGTGATGTCAGTTTCTAATGTTTGAATCCATTCTTTTTCAGGAAGAACAAGACATCAAAGCTCTCCAGACTAAGAACCGAAAGCTGGGTGAATCACTCGATCAAAGACAGGTAAATTCATTCTCAGATAGGTGTTTACAACTCTTTATACACACAAGCATGTACTCTCTTGTTTGCAGAGAGGTGAATCTCTTTCTTTGTGGGTTTGCAGGTGATTGAGGATGAATTGCGAGAGCGAATTGAGAGACTGGAGACCCGCCAGGCCACTGATGATGCCAGTCTGCTGATCCTTAATAGATACTGGAACCAGGTGAACAAGTTTAGACAAGGAACCAAAATCAAAAATGCCTTGTTCGACATTTACAGCCTCCTCTCCCATAAAGATTGAAGAATTGAAATGTGATGCCATCCTCTCCCTCCTTTAGTTTGATGAACACATTCAACTGATCATCAGGCGTTACGAGCAAGCAAACAGCGAACCTGAGAAATCTCTGACAGGTGAGGGACGGAGCCTGAAGCCGGACACTCCAGAGCCTGATGGCGACTCCAACCAGGAGAGGGCCAAAGACAGAGGTAAAAGAACTGACAAGGGATCATGACCTTGAAAGCAAGAACATGCAGATATTTGATTAACAAGCCAAAACCTTCTTTCTTCCTGTTGTCACTTAGGCCACCAGGGAGAAGCGGCCAACTCCTTCCTGGCCACGCTGGCGAGCAGCAGCAGTGAAGAGATGGAGGCTGAGCTTCAGGAGAGGGTTGAGTCCAGCCAGAAGCAGGCCACTCGTGTGGTGGAGATCTACGAGTGTCTGAAGAGCACTGTGGACCAACTGCAGGCAGAGCTGGACTCTGGAGCTGGTGAGAGAAAAGGAGGGAGACCTGTTGAAATTGCTGTAATGGCGTTCAGCTAAGGATGAAACTTATTTGGGATGAATCAAGTCAGTTTTGTAATATCATTGCTGGGTTTCTTTCCAGATGGCACTCTGTGGCAGGCAGCTTCCAAACTGAACTCTCTCCTGACTAGTGAAAACGAGCGGCTGCAACAGCTGACGGAGGACCTCAAGCAGAAGCACAGTCACATGACGAGCGAGGTACAGATCACCGCTTCCTCACTCACTGCTGCAATATGTTCCCTCCCAGTTTTAGACAACCTGAACAGGACAAAAATGCATGTAAAAATGTAAATGTCTCTTTGAATCTTTGCTACCACATCATAGGAGAATTTGTTTGTAAGAGAATTTAGGCTGTTGTAGCAGTTGATCATAAATACATGATAGATTTTTACATTTAATTCACTCAAACTTATTATTACACCATGGCTCACTTCATAAAGGATGTCATTAAGTACGTGTTAATTTGTTTTTTCTGTTACTCATCACCTCTACTAACAGTTGCTTTGCTGCAGAGTAATTATGTTTCTATGAGCTTTTGTGTGTGTGGTGTCAAGTCTCTCTGTTTTCCTGTCTTGTCCAGTCCCGGCCTCTGGGTCGTGCAGCTAACAAAGCAGACCAGCGTGTCAGTGAGCTGCAGGTTCTGATCGAGGAGCTCCAGTGGGACATGGAGAAGATCCGCCGCCGAGAGAACAGACTGAATGCACACCTGACCGACATCCTGGAGAGGGTGAGGATGTGTTCTCTCTGACAGAGTATGAAAGTGTTGGGCAAATGTTCTGATGTTTATATTAAAGTATGTTATTACATTTCCATGCAATGCATCCCAGGTGAACAGCAAAGGCTATAAGGTGTGTGGGGAGGCCAGCAGCGTCTGTGGGACCATCACCATTAACAAGAGAAAGGTAGGAATTCTAAGACAAAAGTGTGACGTGAGAGAGCCCCATAAATTCTTGATTTTTGTAGGGTTTTTTTTTTTTATACTTGTTGACATTTTCCGTCTTCTCTGCTTTCAAGTTTGAAGAGATGAACAGTGAGATGGAGGAGAGCAGGGAGCTGGCCGACAACCGCCTCATTGAGCTACAGAAGCTCCAGCAGGACCTGCAGACTGTGCAGCAGGAGAACAACAACATGGAGGTGGACTCTTTTGACTTTCATTTGGATAACATTATTCTTTTTAATAATGTTGGCACACCCCTCCTCAGAAGTATTCAAGCAACATTAAAACAAAGAACTTTACATTGTCATGTAAGATTACGTGAGTAAAGTACACACTCCTAAAACTAATTTACTGACATGGCAAATTTAACCAGAAGGAGTAGAAAAATGTAGTAGAAAAATATGGGTTGAAAAAGCACTGCGTCAGTGTAAATGTTTACCCAGAAATCTCTATAGTGAATCTTATTCTAAAATGCTAGTTATACAGTACTTTATTGTATTAAAAAACATTTTTTCTTTTTTCTCTTTGGCTCTTGTCTCTGCCTCCCTTTCCTCTTCTCAGGCAGAGCTGCTGAGTCGAGCAGAGGGCATGGTGAAAGAAACTTCTGAGTATCGCTGTCTGCAGTCACAGTTTTCTGTTCTCTACAACGAGTCTCTGATCCTCAAGGCTCAATTAGATGAGACACGCGCTCGACTCAACACTACCAGGACGGCTAGGCTTCGACAGCTGGAGCACATGGAGGTGTGTCTGTCTGTCTATCTGTCTATCTGTGTATGTGGCCTTTTGTCCTTTTTTTTTTTTTACTCTCATCCCCTCTATGTGCAGAATGACGAGGTGGCTCTGCAGAGGAAGGTTCGTACAGAGGTGTTTCAGCTGGAGGACACACTGGCTCAGGTCAGGAAGGAGTACGAGATGTTGCGCATCGAATTTGAACAGACTCTTGCTGCCAACGAGCAAGCAGGTAACTAACAGGTTCTGGTTTAAAAAGTGAATGAGATGGAGGAATTGTGCTGAAAAGGCAGTACAACTAAGACTGACATGATGTCCTAATGTGTTCTTGCTCTCTTTTTTTTTTCCCTGTTTCATTCTGCCTCCTTCTCTCAGGTCCCATCAACAGGGAATGCGTCACTTGATTAGCACACTGCAAAACCACAACCAGCAAATGAAGGGAGAGGTGGTGAAATACAAGATCAGACTAAGAGAGACACAAGCTGAGCTCAACCAGGTAGGTCAGCAGGAGACAGCAAAATAAATTTTCTGTATAAATTAAGTGGACCCAGCCACTGTGACGTCACCTATTGTTTTTTTGGAAAACAATTTTTAAGACTTGCGTTTGGCATATTGGCCATCATTTAGTACAGTGCCTCCATAAATCAAGCGTCAATTCAGGCAGGCAACGAAGTCAAGCTCAGCTCACAATCCCAGCACATGAGCTGATAGCAGCCATCAGTGTATCAGATTAATCATTTCATTCTGTATTAATGCCTGCTCTGTTCCGTACCCTGGGGGGACAACTGAACGCTGAACAAGACATTTTTAGGACACCAATATGTTATAATAAACTTTAATTAACTGAAAGCACAGAAAAAGAAAAAAACACAGATGGCACCCAAAAACAAGTGTACAGCTAGCTAAATGTATACAGCACAGTGGATGTGATTTGCCTCAATCCATCATGGTAGTGACATGTCAGTCACACCATAAAGCATACCCTGCTTTATTGTCTATTTTCCTCTAATTGGGACCATAATTTAAAAAAGTGAACATCAAATGCTGTATTGAAGAAGACTTGAAACGAACGATTTAGACCATAAACTCATTAGGAAAGCGTTATACTAATCTGTGGCTCTTTAGGTCCGCGCTTCAAAGGGCAACGCCATCCTCCAATCCCAGTCAAGCACCGAGATGGACATGAAGGATGAGACGACTTCTCCTTTGACCCCAGCCATCTCTGGGGAACCTGTTATCAAGACAGAGCCAGACAACGGCTCCTCCACGCCCAGCAGCACCGGTAACTAACATCTTGAATGAGTATGAAATATGTTATTAGAATATAAACAACTGAAATCTCTTTTATTTTTTTTTTGTAATGTAATCTTTCTGCAGGAGCCTCTGTGAAAACAGAGCTTGGAGTAGAACCCGAGGCAACAGTGAAGGAGGAGGAGAAAGAGGAGAAGAAAGAGAAGGAGGAAAAGAAAGAAAAGGACATTATAAAGAAAGAGGAGAAAGACCGAGAGCGGGAGAAGGAAAAGGAGCGAGAGAGGCCGACGCGCAGCGGTAGCAGCATCAGTGTGATAAAGGAAGAGAAGGAGAAGCCAGGGAGCAGCAGCCAGCCGGAGGAGTCAGCCGGCGAGCGCCTATCTGTGGTCGGAGGGTCAAAGAGGAAAGAGATGGAGCAGCTGAAGATCGTACGAGCAGAACTCAAGTAAGTAGCAAGTTTAGTCTTTATTTTAGATTATGCTGATTTTTTTATTTTTTTATTACCAAATAATAAAAACTGGTCAGCCTAGTGGTTAAGGATACTGTCGTCAACAAACATTCAGTTGTGCTGAAACATTAAATATTTTGCATTGATGGTCACATCAATCAGCCATAACCTAAGTGAATAGCACCGATTATCTCATTACCATGGCACCTGTCAGCGAGTGGGATATATAAGGCAGCAAGTAAACAATTTGTCCTCAAAGTTAATGTGTTAGAAGCAGAAAAAATGGGCAAGCATAAGGATTTGAGTGACTTTAACAAGAGATGGCTAGATGATTAGATCAGAGCTTCTCCAAACGGTCTGCAGTGGTCAGTACCTATCAAAAGTGGTCCAAGGAAGGAAAACCGGTGAACTGGCACCAGGGTCATGAGCAGCCAAGGCTCCTTGATGCATGTGGCGAGCGAAGGCTTGATTTAAACGCAATATACGTTTGCGTTGCCCTTTGGCAGACAAAACATGGCCCAATTTAATCATATATTTCAAACATCATGGTTGAAGAAATTGGTTGAAACATGTTTATTTTCAACCCTCTGTTTTTGTTGATGCTGTGGTCTCTGTGAGTCAGCTTCAGGCTGTGGCGTCCAGTAAAAATGCGTACCATTTGTCTAACACACGTGAAAGAACTCATCAGTCATAAGACTCTGTGAATCACCAGCAGTGGCTCACATGGAATAGTAGACTCTTGTCTCAGTATATGGCAGGTAAACAAAAACATTATCACAAAGACAGTTCAACATGTCTGCAGCATGATTTCCTCCCTCATTTCAAGGTCTTTTTAAAAACGAATTGATTTATGACTCTTGGTAGTGTGTTTTTAGGATTCTGGATGATAGTGAAAGTTTTGTTGAAGACTCTTACCTTGACTGTGCAGGAAAGCCCAGGAGTCTCAGAGGGAGATGAAGCTGTTACTGGACATGTACCGGTCAGCACCAAAGGAGCAGAGGGACAAAGTCCAGCTCATGGCAGCAGAGAAGAAGTCAAAGTCAGAGGTGATCCAACACTGCACACTGTTGAACATAGTCACATACATAGAGACATTTACTCACAAGTGAACACAGTGTACAGAAGCAGGATAATGTATGTTTAATTTCCTGTAGAACTTGGTGTTGATATGTGAAAGACTTACGATTCAGTCCTGAGTCCAGTCATTACATGATTTATGGATATTTGTGCTGCAGTAGTAATTATTAAAGGTGTTGTATTGGAGCAGTCCCATAATAATGATGCTGATTCCAGGGGGAGGAGCTGCGGCAGAGGCTGAGGGAGCTGGAGGAGAGAGAGAGGAGGGAGGGCAAGAAAATGGCAGACGAAGAGGCTCTGAGGAAGATCCGCTCCGTGGAAGAGCAGATCGATATCCTCAACAAGAAGCTCTCTATAGCAAAACAGGTGCGTGAGCTGGTCAATTAGTTTTAATGGACAAACAAAACCTCCTTTTTTGCTCGCTTAACACTCTAGTCGCCTCCCCGCTGCTCCCTCCTCAGGAGGAGGACGCTCTGCTGAGCGAGATGGACGTGACGGGCCAGGCCTTCGAGGACATGCAGGAACAGAACATCCGTCTGATGCAGCAGCTCAGAGAAAAAGACGATGCCAACTTCAAGCTGATGAGCGAGCGGATCAAGTCCAACCAGATTCACAAACTGCTAAAAGAGGAGAAGGAGGAGCTCGCCGACCAACTGCTCACTTTAAAAACTCAGGTGAGCCACCTGGCGACACTGTAAGGTGCAATCTGCAAGACCCACAGGTTTGTACATGCAGGTTTTGTGACATGCAGTCATTTCTTACATTCTTTGAATGTACCATGGATTACATCCAATAAAAAACACAACCCTTTGAGTATTTTTTTGTTTTTTAAAGTTTGTCATTAAATAAATAAAAGTTAAATCTAACCCTGTACTCCATAGTGCATATTTGTACACACGAAACACCTTGCTCTTCACTGTTACTGTCTATTTATTTGCCCAATTTCTTCTTTGTCGTCTTTTCCCCAGAATTTCACATTTATCTTCTAGCCCCAATGCCTTTGTTTAAAACTTTGTTTACTATCATAATCTTTTGGCTTTGTGCCCATCTGTCAGGTCGATGCCCAGCTGCAGGTGGTGAGGAAGCTTGAAGAAAAAGAGCGCCTCCTGCAGGGCACAATAAGCACTGCTGAGAGAGAGTTGGCACTTCGAACACAAGCTCTGGACATGAACAAACGCAAGGTAACGCATCATTCAGTAATGATGAGCCACGGCTGTGTTTAGATATGCTTAATATTTTCCAAAACAAGACATTCACACAGTGTACAGTATGAGAGGAAAAAAACATTCCAGTTGAGGGAAAACTAAAGACACTGATCCGTCGTCCTGCAGGCTCAGGACTCTGCGTCGCTGTCGGAGGAGGTGCGAACTCAGCTGGAGCAGGTTCAACAGAGGCTCAACCTGGTCAGAGAGGAAGTCGTAGAGAACAGCATCTCCAGGGAGAAAGAGTCCTTTAACGCCCGACGAGCACAGGTAACAACACACAAATACACATGTACGCACAAATAAACTCAAGCTGTTAAGTTTGAAACAGTGCTTGGACTTAAAAGACAATACTTGGTACAAAACACGAAAACGATGAGGCTATCATTTTGGTGTATGTTGTGGATAAGAAAGGCTAAATGTTTTTAAACATATCAGTCTTAATGATACAAATGACTGCACATAAATACTGTTTCATCTCATGTTGTGCACAGACCTGGCACGACACATTTGTTGTTGATTGTTGGTCTTTGTTGTGTATTTATATGTACACAATAATATCTTCCGTTGTGTTACTTCTGCACAGCACAGACCCAGAATAATGCACATGTATATATCTGCAACCTTGTTCTTCCATTCCATATTTATATATTTCTACATTTATTTATGTTTACTGTATGTTTGTCTACGTGTAGCAACTTATCACCACAGCACATTCCTTGTATGTGTAAAACACTACTTGGCAATAAAGCTCCTTCTGATTCTAATGGGGCAGTTATTTCAAATGCAACTCACACAGGAAGAACAAATTGATTTGTCATAACTTTGGGAAAACTCTTCCTTTAAATAAACTGCATGTTTTCTAATTTACAAATTAGATTTGGGGATTGAAACCCTTTGCTTCCTTCCTGTATGTATGTATGTATGTATGTAGGCTAAATAGGTATTGCCAGTTTCAATTTAGTTGTTGTCTACTGAAATGGTGAAAAGATGTTCCACATCAACAAGCTGTTAACTCTAACTGTGTTTCAGGAGGACATCTCTAAACTTAGGAGAAAGATTGAGAAGGCCAAGAAACCAGCTGAGAAAATCAGCAACGGAGATGACATCCTAAACGAAGAAATCAATGACTATAAGGTTGGTTTCTGTGTTAAAAAATATATTGACGCTTTCCTGGTTGCACTTATCCTGAATGCAGAATTTGTTACTGAACAGCATCATGGATGCTGGTCGGGGTTTCGGGTGCATCTACATGTTTTTAATGGCTCAGTCAAACAATGAGAACAATTCCTTCCAAAATCCAGGTTAACTAAACTAATTTAGCCAAAATGCACCAAAATTAAGTTTTTTTTTTGTCCTCTACCACGTTGTTTTTTAACTTTTGTATGCATAAGAATGCCTACTTTCATATTTTGTGACAAAGGCTTTCATGCTGAGAGTTAGATTAGAAGATTTATACTGTTCTCATGTCTGTATGCTAAATATAAAGCTATAGCCAGCAGCTTCGCTTAGCACAAAGACCGGAAGCAGGGGGAAATAGATAGCTTCTGACTCTGTCCAAAGGTAATAAAATCCACCTACCAGCACCTGGAACGCTCATTTATTACAACTTTTTTTAAATCTGTTCAATAACTAAAGTTTAAGGTCTTTTTAAACTAGTTTTGCAGGGGGTTAGGTGCAGGTATAATTCTTGGCTTTGCTGGTTCCAACCATGAAAAAGCCTGGTACATGACCACTGTAAAAGGTTGATGTCTTGTACTTACACTCCGATTTTGGCACAAATTTTGTTAGCTTTGGCCACAGACCTGTTTCCAGTATTTGTGCTAAGCTAAGTTAACCAGTTGCTGGCTGTAACTTAATATTTACATTAAGGCATAAGCGTGGTATCAATGTTCTGATCTCACACACTGCAAAAAAAGTGAACAAATGTATTTACCGAAGTGTCAAACTTTACCTTTAAACAGCAGTTCGTCATGCTTATAATGTTAGCATTACATAAAATCCAAGTGCAAACCACAGACTGAACTCACTCTCACATTCCTTGATATGAACACCTAAGGTGGGAAATTACAGCAGGCATGTCCAGTTATTCTAAACTAATGTCACTGGGACTGGAATTGTTCCAGGATTTGTTTCTGCCTTCTGGCAGAAAGCCCTAAACAGACTGGTTGATGGGACTCTGAAGGCTCTGCTTGTCTTGTAAGCGGGCAGTTTAACCGAATGATGAAATTATTTTTGTCCCTCTGGTTTCTGTCAAATGAGACCAACTGTCATTGTGATCACACTTTTGACGGGAACACACAAGAACACTTATAATTCCGACCAACTGTGCAAAGACTCAACATCACAAATTAAGTAACTGAGATTCGCCAGTTGTAGTCAGTGTCCTCTTTCTCAGTTTGTTTTGTTTCCCAGATTTGGTCATAAACTTAAAAGGGGCTGTTTATACACCCTGCCATACTACAAGATTTGTGTCAACTGTTTTCTGTACTCTCCATGGTTGAGAATCCACATCAGGCTTATAATCAGCCTTCAGATTATGTGGTGTGTTCTGGCCCCTACATTACAAACCATTCAGCTTCGGACAAAAATAGCTTTATTATTCAAACCACCCCCCACCCCTTCTCTTCTGTCTCCCTCTCTCCTTCCCAGGCACGTTTAACGTGTCCGTGCTGCAACTCTCGGGTGAAGGATGCGGTACTGACAAAGTGCTTTCATGTCTTCTGCTTTGAGTGCGTTAAAACGCGCTATGACACTCGCCAGAGGAAGTGCCCCAAGTGCAACGCCGCCTTCGGAGCCAACGACTTCCACCGCATCTACATCGGCTAAAGCTGCGTTTCCACATGGATACTTGGGACGAAAGGGGGTCAACGAGATAAGCAGTAGTGAAAACACTGCTGGAGGGCAAGACTCACCACTGCACTTACATACCCCCTCCCTCTGGATGGACGATTCCAGCCTCGTAGGGCCGCAGTGATGCTCTGAACTGAATGCTTTTTTTTTTTTGATTGTTTTTTTTCTTTTCTTAAGAATGACCGAATTCAGCGTCTCCCATCCAGTATCCACTACTGTAAAGTGTGTGTGTGGGGGGGGGGGTGTTCATTCGTTGGAAAACAAACCAATATAAAGATTAGCACATGGAGGAAACAAAGTTCCTTCCACTGTAGTGGATATTTGTATACTGTTGCTGAGTGTGTACATACTGTATGTCATTATAGTTTCTTTTTTTATTATTTGAAAACTGCCTCTTGCTCCAAACTGTCCAGAAATCTCTAAACTCTTCTGACTTGATGCTGTGTAGTTGATATTCAGTTATAGTTATTAAATTGACATTTAAAAGGTCCAGCTTCTGTTTCATTTTCTCTCCTTTTAAAATTGTCAAACTCTGTGAATAAGCTTAACGTTTGACTTGGGAGCATTAAAACCACAATTCCCAGTGTTCAAATCTGTGTTCATCCGTGTGCAGAGCGTCGTGTCCGCCCTCCCCCGTCCTTGACCATGTAGACGTGTTTGCACACTGGAAACTGTCGTTAGAAACGCGGAGAGGAAGGGAGCGTCAGAGGGGACGGGAAAGAGGGGAGTTTTTGTTTAAAGGTTGTGCAATATAATCCATAGCAGCGGAACATTTGATGCAAGCTCGGAGACGAAGAAATGCCAAACTTGGTTGGAGTGGAGCTCAGAATTGAAATAAGAGGCTTAAGGAGACTCGTGGTCATTTCAACGTCGCCGCGTTTTTACAGATTTCTTTAACGCGCAAAGCTGCAACAGGAAAATAAAACTTCTGCAGACATTTCTACACTTATCTTTTTTTATTAACTTTCTGCGGTATCTTGACCGGTAAAATATCTCGCCCACTGCTGGCTCTAACTCCGTTTCTTCTAAATATAGGCACCGTTTATGCTCGAGTGTCCTCGACGCAGCGAAGCGGTCCTAGATTGGACATTTGCAGCGCTGCCGGAGTTTATAATTAAATTCTCAGATCACATTGAGTCATTCGGGGTTTTTAAACCAACACATTTTGTCTAATTTGCTAATCAGACACTTGACTCAATTTGTGTGTTAATTTAAAAGTAGGCGCGGTTCTGATCATATTTTTCTGTCTATTGTGAACCGCAGCATGTTTATTTAAAGACGCTTTGTAGCCAATGACTGCTCTCAACAGAAGCCATTTTTAATTATTTTATTTGCAAGCTTGTCTTCAATCACTGAACACGAGCTCAACCTCCTCTGGGCTGCAGCGTTCACCCGTGCACATAACATTTTAAGCACATTTTCTATTGTTCTCAAACCTCCAACGATTTTTTTTCGTGCGCTTGGCTTTGGGCGCGGTGGATGTGCCATGGCTCGGTTTTTCCTCACCACCTATGCGTTGGTGCTCGGGTTAACAGCGGGCTGGGCTGGAGCTGAACAGGAAAAGCCGACCGGGGAGAGCCCACCGGTGGGTACCCTACTTGGTCTGATCACCGGGACCTGCCATGAGATTCAGCGGTACGCGGAGTCAGTGGTGGGAAGTGGAGTGATACGGTCAGCTGCTGAGGTAGGTAACAGGGAGGAGATACACCACCGGCTAATAGCCTACTGTTTCTCTTCCTGCACCAGGAAGTAGCTTTACACTCCCCACTTCCTCTTAATTCTTTAATATCCTATCTTATTGTGTGTTGGGTCTAACTTTACTGTTTGCTCTGTCACTATTCCTGATCAATAACAAATTTCCAACTTTAACCCTGTCATCTCTCTCCATCTCCTCACCTTTCACACACATTCCTCTCCCCATGCCCCTCAACTTGTTAATCTCTTCCCTGATCGCCTCATCTTCTCTGCCCTCATTTCATGTCTTCTTATCCCCCCCCCAACATGCAAACACTTTTCTGCATTCCTGCGTCCACTCTGCTGTGATTCCCGTTTCCCCAGAGTGCAGTGTTGAGTCTTGAGTCATTGCTTGGTCAGGAGAACGTCTATACTGTGGCCAGGGTAAGAAACCTCCTGTGTCTCCATCCAGCCTGACCTGACATGGTCCCTTAAACAGAGTCCCCTCATGTGGCTCTGTTCAGCTCATGTCCCCCTGTAGTTAGATCATTGAGCATGACTGTGGTGAAGCTGTGGTCATCTGTATGCGTGTTTTCCATACAGTGATATTTGCATGAGAGGCCTGTAAAGATAACATTTTGTGTTTGCAAGCTGGCTGAAATGTTTCAACATGACTCAGGTGGTAGCTCTGAATGCAAAAAATAGTGGGTGTGCCCGATCTTTGGCTGACAATTTATTATGAGTCCTCAAACTACAGTGAAAAAAACCCAGAAACATTATGTCATAAGTGATCAAATTTAATCCTCAAGGCAAAAGTTAGACTAAAGATCTGCATACCGTACTGACAGCTCCTAATAACTTTAATGCAACAGAGCAACATTTGTTCGAGGTCTTCGTCGGGTGACGCAGTGTGCAGATCTTTTGCCTTCAGTTTGTTTTTTGATCCAGCACCTGTCAACATTTTTCGGCTGTGCACGCTCTGTACTGCTTGTATTCGAGTCAGCTTTGAAGCATTACTGTGAGATTGCATTAAGTATAATAACAGCAAGTTTCTTAGCCCACTGTTTGTTTCATATAAAGAGATGAAAATGATATGACCCATTTAATGTAGTTGCTTCGTAAACAGAGTCTTATAATACCAAACAGAGCAGTAGATGATGAAGTGTGTTTTCAGTTGATTATATACATGCTGACATGAGGTGACAGATTGCTTTGACATATTGGGCAGTCCCCACAAATGTGCAAGTGTGTAGTGCAACAGGTGCAGATAAGATATTTGTCCAACTTACTGGGCTACCCTTGACCTTGTCTGACAAGGCTACACAGTGTATGGGTGGGGAGGCAGGGGGGGCTGTACAGGAATAGAGAGGGGTTCTGTCCACCTGTCACTCACATACACAGCTGTTTGTCTAAGTCAACAATACAGCACTTCTTCTCTCTTAAGGTGCAGCTCAGCAGAACTTCTATAAGAGTTCTGCATAAATGTAATCATCACGTTTGTACAAACAGCTGCTGTAAATATCAGTCTTGTTGTGAGTGGTGTGTAATTGTAATTGTGAATTATACTGGATCTGCATTGGCGCTATGAGGATATATCTATGTTGACTACAGATCTGCCTCTCTTCATTGTTACCTTGTATGATAAAATAAAACATGTCTCCACCCTTCCTTCCTTCCTCCACACCAACACAGTTTTTGGAGATGGTGATCCGATTCCTGGCTGAAGGAGCTGCCAGCGGCCTGAACGTCATCGCTGTTTACGTCACAGAGATCCTCAGGGTCACAGGATTCGATGGTGGGTACCCAGGGGTGTGTGTGTGTGTGTTTGTTTAGGCTTTTCTCCATGCTCCTCTTCTTCCTTCCTGTTCATGTAGCTCACTGCAAATTGTTGGGGTAAGGGAGAATCTGTGGGAATGAAAGTTTTCAGTGCAAGTGAAAGACAAGTATGAAGACTTGGCTCTCCTTCAGACAATTTGTCTGCCACTCCTTTTTTGGGTGTGAGTGTTTACTTCTGTTGCTTCCTGTGTAACAGATGGGTATTTTTAAGCTTTATGCCTTGTGAAAATACACCTAAGCTGGATTTCCTCCCTGCACAGTTGCACTGACGTTGCCCCGCTTCACTCCAGAGGGCGTGACCGCCATCGCCCAGTGGGGTCTGGTGGCCCTCATTGGCTACTGGGTGCTGACCATCCTTCTCCGTCTGTTGATTGGCATCGTGAGGCGGGTGTTCTGGGCAGTGAAAACCGCCTTGGCTCTCTGGCTTTTCGGACTGATCGTGATTGACAAGAATGCCACTGCAGAGACCACAGCAGTTCGATTGGCTGGCCTGGTGGTAGGATGGGTCCTGTTGACTCTGCTCACTTCTGGCTCTGAGAATACTTCTGCAGTGGAGCACCGACTGAGCCAGCTGGAGGGCCGGCTGAAGGCAGTAGAGAAAAGGAAAGGGGAATAGTGACCTGTGAGGGTGGAGGGGAATGGAGTTAAGATGGACAAAGGTGATGGTAATGTCGGTTAAGAAAACAGTAACACAGATGGTTTATATGTGTCAAACTATAATGGGAATAAAGTAATCTCTGGGATTTTTTTAATCAGAAATGTTCTTTTTCTTTGCCTTCAAGAAATGCCAGAATAATAAAACCACATGGTATTTATTTACTATGACAAATAACTGTAATCACTGACACACAATGGTAGTGAAATCCTGCAATAGCTAGTGTGCAGGAGATTGGATAATTTCACAAGTCAGATTACAGGGTTTAAAGTTTCCGGTGCTGTGCCGGAATTCCGGCGCGAGGTGTTTTTGTATTTGACAATATATAAATATGTCTGTGGAAATATTCTTGCATATTTTTTAACTGTTACGTGTGTGTGTGTGTGTGTGTGTGTGAAGCGCCAGTCTTCCTCTGCACAATTGGTGGCTCGATGTCTGTGTATAGACGAAAGAAAAGCGACTGGCTACATGGACATTCAGTGGCTATTGTAGGCCGTGGACAGGGCATGGAAGTTTCTATTGGGTCAATTAAGGTGTCACTCAAAAGGTCAATGTGTAGACACGTTTTTTGTTTACATGCCAGCTGTAGTTAGGCTAATATAAAGCGAAGCAATAGGAGTCCGTGTGTATTTATTGATATAATAATACATTTTGGACTAAATATTTTACTGGATTGGATCGTCTGGACCCTTGCCAATGTAACAAGGCCATTTTTGTTGGAATGTAATCCACCGGTGTAGTATGGCTTCACAGATTAGTGGTGTCAATTTTGATTATAGGCAGTACTTGAAGTGGGCCACCCATACCAGTAAGTTACTTCTACATTTTACTCTTTGGCTTTAATTCATTTAAATCATGAACAAATAAGCACTTTAATTTGTTGAGGAAAAGGGACTGCAAAAAATACTTAATTGAAATTTGTTTTATCATGATAACATTTTCAGCCGTATTGCCCAGCACCTATATTTTCCACTTCAAACACTGATTATAGGAAGTGGCAGAAAATGTTACCAGAATGCAGGAAATGAACTGTTTAATGCTCAAAATCTCCAAGGGGAGGACCCCCTGACCTGACATCATATATTTCGACATTGAACATTTTATCAAACCAGTGTACAATTATCTTCTTGTCTTCTTCTTGTGAACCCAGAATTGTTTTTTCATGTTTCGTGAGCTAAGTGTATGTCAGACCCCTAATCTGAGTCCCTATGTCCCCGTCAGACACATGATTTAGACAAACACACACACATTGAGAATTCACTGTTGCCTTTCTTCATCACCTCTGCGCTCATTTTAACTTCAGATAAATGTCCCATAGAAACAGGTAACATGTTTTTAACATTGTTCTGCACGTGTTTGCATAAACACTTGTGTGCAAGTTAATAACCTAAACTCTTATCAAACACAATGCTAGGTTGCCCCTGAGGTTGATGTCTGACTGCTTCTATATGCACCTCAAGGGGCTCTTGCCCCCTACCCTCCACCTTTGTCGTAAATCCCGAACACATTTCAGGCACAGAAAAATGTCTTGCTTTAAGCCCTGAGATTGTATATTGGCCTCTGTCTATATTGTCGTTTATGCGATTGCATGAGAATAAAAATGAAGGCAAAATTATACAGAAATCATTAATTGAAACCAGTCTACAGCTGTGTTAGCGGCAAGCTAACATGCTGATGTTTAGCAGGTATAATGTTTACCATGTTCACCATTTTACTTCAGCGTGCCAGCATGCTAACATTTGCTAATTAGCACTAAACACAAAAAGCTTAGGCTGTTGGGAATGTCATTAGTTGTGCAGGTATTTGGTCATAAAAAAAAGTATTGGACAAATTTGAAACTTTGACCTTCTGGTGGCGCTAAAGGAAAAGTCATCAAAGTCATTAGGATTCCTCCTCGGGACAGCATTTGTCTGTTTCAAATTTTATGGCAACCCATCCAGTAGTTAACAGATAAATTAGTCTGGTCGACCAACCTATAGACAAGCGTTGCCATCTGTATAAACATGTATAAACAACACTAGCATGACTGAAATACTCCACTATAAAGCAGCCAATCTCATTTTTGATGTGTCAATTTCAACTCACCACAACTTAGTACCTTCAGCCCAGGCTTCCTGCTGCTCAGCCAGCTTTTTTGATCCTCACGGTTCCCACCAACAATCTCTGCCCTCCGCCCACCCCCGCTGCCACTCCAGCGGAGTGGAACAACCTGACCTCAGTGCCAGATTTATCATTCCTGCTAGCTCACCCTGCAGCAGCAAAACTCACTTCCCATGTATATTTGTGCCACGTGAAATTATCTGTGAGTTCTCACTGCATTGCCACCATCTGCATCATCATTTTTGAATATAATCTTATTGTAAAAATAAAAGGTTTGCATTTTGATGAAGTGTCTTCATCTAAACATCCAAAAGAAACAATCAAACATTCCCATACTACATTTAATTTGTAAGACTTTTGCATTAAAAATCTTTCAGCTGCTCTGATTCATGTGAGAGTCAAATTCACAAGTCTGAAGCTCAAAATCAAGTGCAATTATGGGATTGAAGGTCAACACAATTTTGATGTGATTATCAGGTAACTATGACTAGCGTTTCCACATTATCTATTTAAATCTAGGAATTGTAATTCAACGCTGTAATCAAAACCAAGAACGGTTAGCAAAGCAGTGAAGTCATAAGTGCCATCTTTCAGAGTATTTTCTGTTTTGTTTTTCTTCTTGTCATAGTTAGGGTTAAAGGTTTGAGTTAATATGTTTGTTTCCATTTACAAAGATAGGCCTATCTTAAATGCAAGTTGCATTTCAGGCATTAATCCACTGCAGTCCTCATTTAAGTCCAAGGATGTGGGAAACTTTTCAAGATCAGTGTGGGTAACAAAAGTGTCTACAAAGACTGGGTTATTGTTCCGTACAGCAGATTTATGGCTCTGTAGTTTTTCTTCACAACGCACAAAAGGCCAAGCTGTATTTTAACTTCTGCTCACTTGAGTTTCTTTTGTGAACCAGTGGCATATGGAAAGGAATTTATAAGCTTGGATGAGCTTTTGGCTGTGTGGTGACATGTTGGGTGGGTGGAGCTTGTAGTGGTGTCAGAACTAGTAAATTATGTTGTCTGTGAATACATGAAGACAGAGGAACAAGTACAGTATAGAAAGTAGGGTGTTATTAGCTTTAATGCTGCTGATTCCAAATATACTAAGATACAAAAACAAGACGCTCCTCATATAATATTTACACAACAGTCATAAACTACAACATGCATTCCAAGATGTGAATAAGTAAAATTAAAACTGACATCTATTTAATCTATAATTATTGAAGCTCCAAATATAAGTAAACACTAGTTGGTAATTAATGCATTTAAGGCACAAGTGCCATTGTGCCACAAAGAAGGTAACCAACCAGTTGTGACATTTCTAAACAGTCACTATAACGTCAAAACATTTACATATGTGTTTGACGCCTGAGCAAACTAAATTGTTTTTGCAATACAGAAGCTACTACTAATACTAATACTACTGCTAATTCCGAATCTACACTAAACTGCAAAGTGCAAGCAATATTAAAGCAAGTCTTTAAATACATTAGAGCTAAAAGATGAATCCCAAAAGACAGGAAAATGTCTACCACTTTAAAATTACAATGTGTAAGATATGGCCAAAATATTTGTTTAAAACGTTTAAGATAAAGAACTAATAAGATCAACAGAATGTGAAGAAGTAACAGTTCTGACATTGTGTCAAAGACATGTGTTGCAGAGATTTCTACTGACCCGTTTTACCTCCTAATACTACTTTGTACCTCAACGGGCACTAGTCTGATAGTATAGCTCAGGCCTCATCCCATAGTTTTACTGGGAGGCTGCTGAGCCCGGTTTCGGTTTTAGTGCCCATTCCTGACTTAGTCGCTAATAGAGCTGTGCTACGTTAGCTGCATGGCAAACTGAGCAAACTAGCTGATATAGTTATAGCAGTTATAACCTGATATGTGATATGGTACCCCCTATATTTGAGTATGAATTTGACAGGTCAAGAGTAGTCTCAATTCTTACACATTGTACCTTTAAAATACAGAGAGCTTCGCAGAGGTAAGGCTACTTTATGTTTGTGTCTTCCCTGTAAATGTTCACAGTCAAGCTGGTCACTCTGTACTATGAGAAACTGATGAGACTCATGAGATAGTAACATTATGGTAAACAACGCAATTTAGAGTACCTGCTTTTTATTGAAAACTTCCCTTTCACCTATGGCTTTGAAACTGATATCCTTTGGTATAACATCTCATGCTCTGCTCAGTAAAACTAAATTGTTTGGTATGGAATCAGATGTAAAATAACATTATAAACGAATCAAAAAATTTGATACAATGAAACATTGTAAAAATGTATAATATTGGGAAGGACAGATTTTTGGATGTGTGAGGAGTAGATGTGTGTTCCTGTGTAGGTCCCCTAAAAATGGAGTAAATGTTAAAATGATAGTTAAACATTTTAGGAAATGCATGTATCTGCTTCTTGTCCACAGTATGATGAGATTGATACCATTCTCGTGACTGTATGTTAAAAATGAAGCTATAGCTAGTGGCTGATTAGCTTAACTTAGCTGACCTGTCCCTGTACAGAGATGACTAAATTAATCTACCAGCAACTCTACAGCTCACTAATTAACATGTTATTCTTTGTTCATTAAATATGTGTCAAAACAACACTGGTGAACGCATATTTCCCAAGATGTTGAACTATTTCTTTAATGTCACACTAATGAATGAGTTGACAAATTTGAGGTAGGCTGTTACAATCAAGACTTTCAGAGGAAGTTGAGTTTGTCAGAGTTATAAGTGTCACAGTAGGTTGAGTCTGAACTAAGTGGGGAGGCAGAGGTCATCCCCTTTAGTTCAAACCGCGGCTGCTCCGCTAGAGGTGAAACCTGGACAGAAAGAGACAGATATATCAGTGTAAGCTATCTATCTTCAGCCAACATAGATGAGACAAAACTGACCTTATGCTAAGATTGTTTTATCAATGGCTAACTCTGTGATTAGAGGCTTTTAATTTATTTTATAGTGTGCACTGCTACATCAGATAACATGGAAAACCTACAGCATGCTTTTCTGTAAACTCTGTGCAGGTTTTGCAAATGTTTTTAGAGTAACGCACCCAACATGTATGTTAGACCTCAACGATACACTCAAGATCACTTTTCATTTGGAAAAACAGACTAGCACTAACTCACTGTTATCAAGTTATCAACTGTGTGCGTGCGCAGACTGCTATGGGCAGCAGGATGTAACTCAGAATAAGCTGGCGGCATTTTCACAGTAGGAGGATTGTGTATCTGCAGAGTGAAGTGACACATAATTAGTACATTAGTAGTGGAGAGTGAAGAGAACAGGAGAGGAGAAGTTCTCTCAGTGAAACACACTAACCAGAGGGCCGGTTGGAGTAAAAGAAGGCTGAGCGGAGTAGCGTGTCCCAGAGGGCTGACTGAGGTAGTCTTGACTGCAAAATCTGTTGACCTCTGGGGAAGGCATAGCAGGTTCAGCATTAGCAGTCTCAGATCTGTCCTTTTTGGAGGAGCGCTTTCCACAGCAGCAGCACCTCACGCAAGCACAGCAGGAAAGGGCAGCGAGGATAACACCAACGCCAATACCAAAGGCAAATGAATCATTCCGTAGTGCTGAAACATTGATGGTGAATGTCAAATATTTGCTGCTTCGCTTCCAGCCTCTCAAATGTGAGGATATCCTGCTTTTCTCTGATTTGTATCACTGAAAATCTATCTCGGACATATATAATTTAGGTTTTAAGACTGAGTGGTCTCTGGTGGGTTGAGAAAACAAACAAAAGAAGCTAAAAAATAAGGCTTCTTATGACAAGGTGAGGAATTCAGTAACACAGTCATCTGACAATTATTATAAAACACAGAGGTTACTTACGCTCCATTTCCAGTAACACCACTAAGGCATTGTTGCCATTCTGATCTCTGACCTCGAAACGTCCGCTGCATGACATTTTGAGGTCGTCATTTAAAATCCCACATGGCTTTAACAGATGAAAAAATGTGCAATCACGTTCATCCAAACCCTCTTTCAGTCTGCCTTGACGAACTATCTCTGTCCCTCCCATTTCATGGTCACTTTCTGGGAAGAAGTAAATGTTGCAGGAGTTCGGTTCCAGGTGAAAAATGAAGTGGAGGCTTCCACCAGGATTCCGTGAATAGGCTTTCGTGTTTGCTGGAAGAGAGGACCCACAAGTCAGAGGATATCAAAGTGGTTCTCCGCCTAAAATCTTTTGTACCAAACTCTGATCATGTAGTCTTGGTTCTTGCCTATTCGCCTAAAAGAATAGTCCAACATTTTGGGAAATATGCTTATTCACTTCCTTTCCAAGAGATAGATGAGAAGATAGTTACCACTCTCACGTCTGTAGGTTGAATATAAAGCTACTGCTAGCAGATGTTTAGCTTAGCTTAGCACAAAAACTGGAAACAGGGCGAAACAGCTGTCCAAAAGTAACAAATTCCAACTACGAGCAGTATAGTCTGGAATATAACTCCGCCTAAAAACTGCAACTTGTCTTTTTACACTTCATATTTAGTTCGGTTGAACAAAGTACAAGATAAAATGCATTAATAAGTGAGCTTTAGAAGAGCTGGTAGGCTGACCGTGTAACCTTTGGAAAGGCTAGCTGTTTCCCCATTTCCAGTCATTGTGCTAAGCTAAGCTAACCATTTTCATATTTACTGTATAGATATGAGAGTGGTATCAACCTTTTCATCTAACGCCGAAAAAGAAAGCAAACCGAATTTTCTAAAATGTGGAACTGTTCCTTTACAATGGATTTCAGTGATGATGAATTTTCATCCATGTGCTCAAATGCTCCAAACAGTAGTGTCTTCTCTAAATTATGGTTACATGCACTCTTTCTATCTTGTTAACTATCTTGTGTCTTGAAAAAAGAAGCACCAAGAAAGGAAATTTGACACATTGAGAACTAAGAAGGATCCTCACCTACTACCTCAAAGATCTTTGTAGACAGTATTTTCTGATCTTTGTCTCTCATTATGTAGCGGCCACTGTCTTTCTGGGTTACATTAAAAATCGCATAGTAGGCACCTATCACCGTATGCCTACGGTCCTCTATGGCTTGAGGGTTATCATGTCTCCACAAGATTGTCACATTTGAGTTGTGCTTAGGTTTGAATTCAATGGACTGAGCATTTCTGAGCAGCAGTATGCTGAATGTTTCCCCATAGTCACACTCATACGTATCCTCATAATATGAGAAGCCTAGGAAAGGAAGGAACAGAAAAAAAAACACTGATTACAAACATTGCAAATGTATGTTAACATTACCAAATATTTTGAGCCCTTCATTGCTTTGGAATAAATGGATGCACATATACCCCCATCTATTATATGAACTAACTATGCAGTTACACTATTGCAAATTACTATCATTATTGATATTGAAGTATTCAGATGTTTTACTTGAGTCAAAGTAGCAATGTCACAATGTAAAAATACTTTGTTACAAAAGTCCATAAGTATTTGAGCTAAATGCACTTAAAATATAACCTAAAAGGTCCTCCAAGTTCCCAAAAGGTTGTCTTATAACTTGTGTGTACAGTAATTATCTTAAAATCTAAATAGGCTTAAAACATATAACATGATAAAAAAAAATTCTAAACATCTAGTTAGTTTTGTTGCAGTACACGCTACAAATGTAGTACTCATTATTAGTACATGGTAACCTTAAATAAATAGCCTGAACTGCATAACTCAAGACACCAGTGTGGGAATGCAGTGCATTTAATCTGTAATAATGCATTAGGCTATATTTTATGACCTGACCATGCGTTTTGTAAATATAACCTAGTAATCAAGCATAGTTCAGTAAAAAGTACAATATTTTCTTCTGAAATGTAGTCGTGCATGAGTGTAAGGTAGAATAAATTGGAGGTACTCGACCTCATAACTTTTCCACCACTTACTGAGTAGCCTACCGCAGATACAGCCTACTGTAATTCTTTTTTGCTGAGTCTTTATGTTTAGGTATAACTCTTGAAAGCAGTCTCGCTACTAATTGTACCCACCCGTACAAACAAAGGCACCCAGCAACAGCAACAATATCATCATCAACAGCGGTAATTCAAAACCCGAGTCCAGCGAACCGGAGTCGACCAGCTAGGCGCACGATGCGTTTAATAGTTCCTCAAGACTTCACTATTGACATATTCCAGCCGGGCAAATACTTAAATACAATGGTAAGACTGGAGTTATACAATGCACATATGCCGCACTAACCGTTATTAATGGCGTTTACGGCCAAGTTGGAAATATAATCACAGATTCGAACTTCCGGAATCAATAACTCGTAAGCAAAACGTGTTTAAAATACATACGACGCCTCTTTATTATCGTAGTTAAGTAGACAACCAAGTACATTTCCACCTAAATAAGTCGTCCGACGAGCGGCACAAGTAACATTGGCCTCTACGTGCAGCCGGCTGTGAGACGAGTGTGCAGGGACCGTCTACAAAGTGTAACGCCGAAAACACATACTGGAGAAATATTCAATTAATATTCAATAACTACATTGTTATAAGATGTAGTGTCTCCAATATCACCCCATGCATCAGTGATCTTGTGTTGATGATACTACAACACTTAGTTTGTAGAAATATAGTTTTGCATAATTTGGGGGGAATTTTAATATTCAATAAAATTCAATAACTTCACTGTTTTAAGCTGTAGTGTCTCAAAAACAACTCAAACATCATTGCTATCCTGCTGGTGATACAACACTTAGTTCATAGAAATACTGTTTTGCAAAATTTGGGGGAATTTTAATCTTCAATAACTTCACTGTCAAATTTAAAATTCATCCACTAGGGGTCACCTTTGTTTTATAACACAACACTTATTGAGAGAAAAAAGCTTTTGCATAGTTTGGGGAAATTTTAATCTTCACTGTAATAAGCGGTAGTGTCTCCAAAATTACCTTACACATCATTTATATCCTGCTGGTGATACTACAACACATAGTTTGTAGAAATATGCTTTGAGGTAATTGATCTACCCACACTAAAGGGCTTTTGTATGGTCACCAAAATATTACCTAATGGTAGCCTCATGGACACTTCCTTTACACCAATAAATGACAGATGTATGAGCTTACTAAGTCACTAGCCAATCATGGGGAAACTTTCAATTAATTTACTCTACTTCCATCCTCTCCCTTTAGTCTTCAATGCCAAATCACTAAGATGGGGACAGACATATTTCTGTACTTAATGCTTTCTGATTTTCTTGAACATTTGCTTCCAGTCCCATTCCATGGTTATATGTAAGTAATCTTTCTTTTTGTTTTTTCTACGATTGATATTATTACTTAGTGGAGCTGAGCTTGTGTACCTGTTCAGATTAAAACTTGAGCTAGATCTTGTGCCTATTTCACTTACTGAAATGTTTCTTAATTTACTCTCCAAAGAAGGGCATGCTTTTTTCTACATTAATATGAAATGAATAGCACTCAAAGACATATGATATGTCTAAACTATCAATACCTAAGTGTAGAATTATTACTGAAATGACGAATTTGTGGTTTTATTCATGTAACACTGGAAATGAAATTTTCCCATATGTTTAAGTACTGATTATTTAAAGTGAAAATTGTAGCTTTACATATTGGGCCACCTTATTTACTGCCAAGAGTTTATGACACAAATTAGTATGTTATTTTGATAAGTTCTTGCTTATTCTGTACAACTTGCCCTAAGTTACAGGCAATTTGATGACCATGGGACCAGTTAAAAAAGGAATACGAGTTCCGAGGAAAGACCTATGGGCAATGGCTGGTGGAATAGAAGCATTGGTCAGCTCAATGAGGAGTGTTAACATTGACAATAGAGACACAGGTTATTCATCACAAATCTGGTCTGAACTCTAAAACCATATTTGGTGAAGATCTTCAGAAAACGTCATCAGAAACGCCATTGTCTCTGGGTCATATGGACAAAAAACCGAAATGGAATGAGGGATTTGATAAATAAACAACCGCAAAAAAGTCATCAGAGGACCTACCTCTGAGCATGACTCACAATATCAAACAAGTATCAGATGACAACACAGAAGAGAATGAGTTAGAATACGAACACCAGAAGATGTCTTTGCAGAGTGGAGTTGAACTGGAGGAAGCAGTCACAGATGAAGATTTACAGAGTAGTGACACAGAAGATAATGCACAGTGGATCTCAAATTGAGGGAGCAGGCACAGATGAAGAATTACAGAAGAGTGAGAAAGAAGACAAGCAACAGAAGATAATGCACAGTGGAGTTCACACTGAACATGGAACATGGAACCAAATTCAATGGAGACAGTTGCCAAAAGTATCAAAGAGGTTCACAATTACAGTGAACAGGAAGTAATGGCAAAGAATTGTTCCACTGCCCGGTTCGACAAAACTGAGGCAACCATGGATCCGATGTGTTCTACAACAGTTTCCGAAAGAAAAATCCCTGTTGTAAAATTGCCTTCAAGAGCCAACATATCAAAACTCTTCACAGCCGCAAAATTAATAGTCCATATTTGAACATCACTGCAGTTTTTACATTCCCTTCCTGTAGTGCAAAATCAAACAAAAAAAGTGAGAGAAAAGTCAGAGCAGCAGCAAATACACGAAGAGGAAGAATTGCAAGAGCTCTGAGTAAAGGAGTGAGCCACCTCTTCTATAGTAAACTTAAGAAAACACCTGTTGCTGAACTGATTTCAGGAAACATAACCAGAAGTGTAAACAAAAATATTCTCAAAGTCATAAGTTCAGAGGTCAGAAAAAATAAAAGAATACATGATGATGTTTTTAAGGAGATGTACCTCACTCAAAGGAATGTGACAATACATTTCAAAAGATGCCTGGGTACATACAGCACTTTCAAGTGGACCCCTTTGGTGTACACATGTACACTGAAATATCAATAAGTATACTTATGCAACACGTGAGAAAGAAGACCCCACTGATATCCATTATACCTGGATGCTACAGGTTGCAACATTGCATCAAAAGTTCCAAGTGAAACCAAAAGAGTCCTTTACTACTCTCTTACTGTTCCTGGATCTGGTCAAAATGCACCTCCACTCCCAGTCTGTGAAATGCTGACAAATGACATCAATACCATAGTATTGACAACATAAATAGTTTGCAAATGATGTATGAATTGATGACAGTTTTATTGTTTATATCTTTAAAGGTTGATGCCCTTTGGATACGCAAACCAACAGAAGTTGTTGTGAAAAAAACATTCTTAAGTCTTCACAAAAGTGTTGAATAAGTGATCCATTCTCAAAGATGTCTGTGATGTGTGAACAATTAGCTTAGACTTTCATTGTCCCCAGATGGAAATTCTCTTTGAAAGCACTGTACATCACCAAACAGCATTCAACATTAGCCTCCCTACAAAATAATTCCCAACAAATGAACACCACAAACGCTATACAAAAACAACAGACAGGAAAGGTGAAAGCATTACTCCTGGAGTCTCATCTTGTTTAGCGGCCAAAACGAGACTCATGACTTAACTTATGCATCTACATTACAAGACATTAATGTGTAATTAATATTCCCTGTAATTTCTCCAAAAGGTAATGGAATGTTACATCAGAGGCATCCTCAATTCTAAGGATACAGCTGGTCGACTTTACCACATGAATCACTACACCATAGGTGTAATTTTACATGGCACAAGAGAGCAGATGGCCAGGCAAGGGTTTAAAAAGGTGAGTACAACAGAAATCATGTATAATTATTTTTTAATCATTTCATTATTGGTTGTCAGTAAGCTTCAACTGGGAGACAGAATAGTTTGAATTGTGTGTACACACCTTCTAGTGTTAAAACATAATGTATACTGTGTAGGCCTATGAAATCCTTGCTTTGCTTCGATATATATAAATAAAAAATGACATTATTTTTCAATGCATTTTTTCAGGTAACATTCGATGACTATGATGGAGGCATTGGATTTGTTAATGTAAGAAATGTGCACTGGAAGTTTGTGGTGAGTATACTGCTACTCATGTACTACCATGTACCTTTACATCATTTATGTATGGTTAAAAGTTTATCAGACTTACAATTGCATTAAACATAGTCAAGTACATACAAATATACATTCATTTGAATAGATATTTCCAGAAAAATCCACATATTTAAAACCTCTTAACATTCCTGTAAAATTTATGCAAAATGCCCATTCAAGACATAGCCAAAGTAAATTGAATGTAGTTCTTGAACCATTCGGAGTATATGCATGGTTTTGGGCTTCTCTGAAAGATAACACTCTGGAGTATCTAACCCAAATGAATGATTGTAAGTGCTACTGGAATTGATTAATATAAGTTTAAACTCACTAAAACTAATATATTTTTCATTTCACTTGAAGATGCTTGCTAACAAATGCATGCAGACAACTATAGTTGGGACTTATTAGCTGGAAAACACTGTAAAGCCTTACCTAGTCCTAGTTTTTCTAAGTGTATGTCTTAGCATATTTTTTCTAAAACAGCACCGCCCCATGGCGGTCAAGTAGCTTTAATCTACTTGCGTCGATCATGATTGTATAAGTGAGCACTACATTATATAGCCACATACAAGAAAATAAATGAAAGGAAATAGACTATCTATTCTAAGCTCTCCACATTACCTGCAAGCTAATCCAGCAAATTCACAGATCATTGGCTTCCAGTCACGTATTGATTAAGCACGTCAACATCCAGGTAACACTTTGGGCTGATCTAAAACAACTGGTTACCTTGAGCGATATTAAATAGCCTATACCAGAACATGTTTTTCAAGGTGTTTTTCTCGAGGATTCTGTAAAAAGTCTATTTCCTTTCATTTCCTTTTCCTTTCAACAAACCAGAGGCGTTTCACACTGACTCATCAAAGCAGTATCTTTAAAATCTAAGAAGAGACATGGCAAAAGAGATTCTTCAAGGATCAAGAATGACTTTCTCTCTCTTTCTCCACACACACACACACACACACACACACACATGTATATATATATATTTAAGTGTATTGTATACAACTTGGACTTTTTTTCAATTTCCAAGGATGAGTTCTGTTCTTTCTTTGGAAATAAGGACCTGCCCAAAACTGCTGTTGCTGCTGTTTGGGTGAGAATTAATGTTCTGTATTGTTTCATACAATACATAATCTGAGTATAATCTGTAGTGAACTTCAAGGAAAAACACAAAAGTAATCGAATATTGTAAACTTGTATGCATTACAGGTTTTGTAAAGTTAATGTTTTCTATGTGTAATTTATTTGTCCCCTCGCAGATTCAGTGTAGAACTTGTACAAGGTGGTTTCACACGCAGTGCATTGGAATGAAAGCAACAGACATACCAAGCAAATAAATCCCTTGGTATTGTGCATTGTGCAATAGCCCTAACTAAAGAGGCTGTAGGTGAGTTTGGCTAACTCTTAGGATGTGAGATATG